ACCCAGCGGCATGGGAAGGAAGGCCTTGTCACTCCATCTCCATAACTAAAAGAATCATTCGGCTCCGGTGACGCAGTTTTCAGACGGCCGTGAGACGGGTGTAGCGTTCTGTGAAGACCGCCTTTCAGCGGCTAACTTAGCAGAAACGGCGCACATTTACATTCGGTTGGCTAACCCAGCATTACTTATTATAGTTTGAATCCCCATGCAAAAAAAAAAACAAAAATAAAAATGTCATTTAGGTGTATAAGATGACCACCTGTGGCCACGCGCGCGATCATTAGCATAAGCACGCGCCGTCTCAGCGGTCCCGTTTACCTACATCATTAACTGCGGCATCTGGCCGCGGCTGCGCACTCCCTGCTCACTACTGAGATCATCCTATAGAACTGGCTAATAACTTTGTCCTTGGATGAAAATATTTCCATTGTAAGCGAAGGAGTCGTCCGACTGTCAATGAATAATTACTATGGTTTGTACCACTTTAAAAATCAGTGGCGTCTGTATTTTTAAGGGAAAAAAACGAATAATCGTAGGAAGGAAATAATGAATAATCGGAGGAACTTTAAGGAAATGCATTTTTAAATACTTTATTCCCCAAAAGTGGCTTTGGGAAAAATCACTTTTTACCATTTTTTCCCTGAAATTCTAAAAGAATGCTAGTTTTTCTGTTGCGTCATATTTTCATTGGAATCTGGAAAGAGATACAAAGAGACACAGAATACTGGTGTGCATAGTAAGGTGAAAGAATTCTGCCTAGAACTGGCCGTAAATAGGCCTACTAGGTCCTGTATCCAGAAGGCACTGTTTAATGATTGGGGACTTTAAGACCGTCGGAGTAGTTGCATTCGTTGGCATGTCAGTAGAATGATAGAAAGAATTTCCTCTGATGGGCTCATACTTATGGTGTCTTCAATGCTTACCAACACAGTCTGTTTTAATTCTCTGCCCCATGCATTCAGACTGAAGGACTTGGTGTCAGGTTGTCTTTTTTTAATTGATATTTCTGTTTGTTGTCTGCATTGGGTTTGAGACCATTTTGCCACTTCCGTCGTTCACCGGGAAGGAGAGCGGAGGAAAAAAGAAGGAGAGAGGTTGTCTGAGTATGCTGTTCGGCCGAGCTTGCTGAATATAACTGCTTTTTATTCAGCCTGCTACCTACAGGTCGGAAGCTGTGATCATATGAAACACCCAGTAATAAATGTAAGATCAGAGGAGACAATTTTATGTCTCATTTTTGAGATATCTGTCCAGTAAAACCATTGAATATTTTTTTAGCATCAGTATTACCTCTGAATTATGTTCAGGCAGTGGCAGTTATAAAATGCAGTGTCCTTTTAATAGAGTACTGAATAACAACACCAGTGGGAAAGTAGAAGACCCAGATACAAGACAAGGCATTGTGGGGAAATAGCATCCATATTGAGTAGACAGCACCTAATAATCAAGATAATAGTATTGAATTAAATGATTAACCTTCAGTTTTACGTCGCAGATACACAGGAAGCAATCAACAGAATGGTGTAACTGAAGAGTTGTACAATTTCTCTGGCTCTGGGATCAGAATCTAGCATCTGTAATCATCTGCAATATTTGTGTCTAGGATGACTGTGGTGATACAGGCCTGTCACGGGAAACAGAGACTGACAATTAGACCTTGTGATCAGAGTACAAAATTTGCACTGCAAGTAGTTAGCTAATATGTGTTTACATTAATGGTTATCCTCTTTTTAGCATTACAGATTATACTAATCAAATTTAGTCTTCCCTGAGAACAACCGAGCAGCATTGCATTTGGATTTTTTATAAATTATTCTCTTGATTTTAGTTGTTTTTTTGTCATTCATATGTAGTGTTTTTGAAAGCAAGGATATCTGGGTATTAATGCAAGGGCATTGTCTGGCTTCACGCTACAACCGCGACAATTTAAATAATGGATATTTTCTTCCTTGCTGCATGCAGCAAATGATTTCGTAGACACACTAATGGCTGCTTATGAAAAATACATTAAAAAGATTAAACAATAAAGTCTCAGCATGGAAGTCGGGGGGAAAAAAGAAAGATTAGAAAAAGATGAGAAGGACGGGAGAAAAACAGGGCGGTGCAATTTGACAACGGCAGTAATAACCTCCTCCCCCGTAAAACCAATGACAACTGACAAGCTAAAGAGGGGGGAAGGTGTGTTATGAAGCGGCCGGGTGAGCCAATTGATTAGCTAGCATTCAGACAACACATGACTGTCAAGGCAGGCATTGACTTTCAAAGCACAAAAAGAATGAAATAAAGGTTGAGATCTTGGGGTTGGGGGGGGGGGGCAGTGCTGCAGGGACAGATTTTGAGCTACCAGCTTCCAAAAGGAACAACAAAACACATCAGCTACCTCCGTCTACCATCCGCACGGGACTCGCTGGGCAGACAGGCCTCTGGATCGCAGAAGTGGGGGTCTTGGGGTTGGGGGGGGGGGACGACGACAGGTGGCTGAAGTAACAACAGGTGTGCTGCTCGATAAGAGCAGGAAAAATAAAAATAAAAGCAGGATTGGCTCAGCAGCTTGAGTTGCGACGATGTGCTGATTTGCCTATGAAAATAGCACTAAAATCAACATACCCCGTGTGCAAATGTCTGCCTGATAAACGTTTGGGGGGGGGGGGGGGTTCTGTCTGAGAAACAAACAAAACATCATGTGGGCAGGACACATGTCATCTCCACCGCCTAGACCCGCAGAAACAGAGAACAAGAAAAATAATACTCACACTACTACCACTACTACTAATACCCTTACTACCACTACTACCCTTATTACCACTACTACTAATACCCTTATTACTACTAATACCCTTATTACCACTACTACTAATACCCTTATTACTACTAATACCCTTATTACCACTACTACTAATACCATCATTACTACCAATACCCTTACTACCACTACTACTAATACCCTTATTACCACTACTACCCTTATTACCACTACTACTACTACCCTTATTACCACTACTACTAATACCCTTATTACTACTAATACCCTTACTACCACTACTACTAATACCCTTATTACCACTACTACCCTTACTACCACTACTACTAATACCCTTATTACCACTACTACTAATACCCTCATTACTACCAATACCCTTACTACCACTACTACTAATACTCTTATTACCACTACTACTAACTAAGAATAAGAAAACAACAATAATTCTGCTCCATGGTGCACTGTCACTCACACCCACACACACACACACACACACACCCACACACACATACACATACACACACACACACACCCACACACACACAGAAGCTGACATGCATGACCCAAGAGCAACAGAGAGCAGGCCGTGCAGTGTGACACCTGCGCACCCCCCCTCAGCCGACAGCCTAACCACAGCAGGACATGCGACAGGACGCCGGCCTGTCACCGCCGCAGTGCTCGCTGCTTTGGGAGGGTGGAGGCACATGACAGAGATGTGAGCGCACGCTGCCACCGGGTTCCTGGGGGGGTAACGGCAGCCTGCGCCGTAAACACAGCCGCACCTCCGCTGGCGTAATTACAGAGCCGCCGCAGTGACGCCGTCCCACCTGCTGCTGGGGGGGCGCCTTCACGCCTTCGTACGTCTGCTCCGTCTCAGACGGCAAGGGGAAGGGGGAGACAGAACATGACAGGAAAATCAAACGAGCGACGGAGTCGGGCGGGACTCCCAACAGCGGCGCCCGGGGGGGGGGATTCGCCAGTCATTAGCAGGCAAACAGGAGAACGTGACCTACTTAGGAACTTTTCACGTGTGCGTGCCTCTACGCGGGCGTCTGAGGGTCCTATCGCGGCTCGGGCACGTCGCAGCCAGCCAGCCGCACCCCCAGGAGAGAAGCCACACGTCAGGCGGCCCGCAACCCCGGAGTTACCCGAATGCGAGGACGGAAACAGCAAGGCCGCATGGGGAGCCTTAAAGGACACGACGGCAAAGCCGCACATGAAATGCGAGGCTATAGCCGTTTATAATTTACTGACGGTGATGAAGACACCAGTGGCTTTTAAAAACAGAGATTCAGACCTAAAGTCAGTATGGGGGGGGGGGGTGTGTGCATGCTTACTGTGCGTCTCACAGTCAGAGACGCGATCCCGCAATCCACCAGGGCCATGAAAGAAACATTTAGCTGCGATGTAGCGCAGCCGCATTGCCTTGGGCTCCCTTTAATTCGGGCCTTTGTTTACAGTGAAGCTGAGCTCCTGGGCTTTGCTGAGGCCTGCGGCTGTCTGTCTCCACGCAGCGGCCCCCAGCGATCCAGCACTCGCCTTCCCTCTCGCAGGTCGGCCAAAGCTCGTGAGACTACAGAGAACATTACAGTACAGGTAGTTCTTTTTTGTCTCCCCCTCCTCCGCACCCCCCCCCCNTGGGGTGCGGCTGGGGTGGCTGTAGGGGCTGTTGTCACGAGTCAGGGGCCTCATTTGGTTGTGGCGTCCCCCCCAGCATCAGCCGGCGAGAGGGTTAGGAAACATCACAGGTCTGATGGCAGTATGAATCCCATTTGGCACAGCCTATCCGGCAGTTTAGGTAACACGGCACCCTCTCCTCCGCCCCCCCCGGCTGGCAGGCCGCAATGGTGCAGGACCTCCTGCTGTGGTGGAGCCGTTGGGTGCTCTGCCCCCCCCCCTCCCTGCCGACTCACGAGGCTCTGATGCCTGTTCCGGCTGCAATCAGCCGTGTTTTAGTCGTCTGCTGTCACCTATCATGTGAGAGCCAATGTGCCATGAGCACTCGGCCATCCTCATGAGTGCGGGTGGTGGGTGGGGCTGGACGGGGGGGGGGGGGCACTGTTTGTTACCCAGCTTGACCAGGCTAATTACATCCCCTGTAATGAACTGTAATTACCCAATCAAAGGGCAGACGAAGTTGAGAGGATGCGACAAAGTCATTGGATTCTCTAGTAGGCGCTTTTCTTTTTTTCCCCTCTCATTCACTCAATGTTTTTTTATTTTTTATTTCTGTTTACAGTTTGATGGTGACAACATGTACATGAATGAAAATAACCAGGAGTTTCTTTCTCCAAATCAGGTGAGTGGGTCAGTTTTCTGATGTTTTCACAACCCAGCTGTTGCCTGTATTATTTGGCAATTAAAAAATAAATAGATTTGGCAATGAATATATGAATGGGTGATACCGGGCCCTGAGGTGTAAGTGATACTGGCTACTGTCCCTCTCGAGAGCTGCCAAATACCGTAGAGGAAGTTTTTTTTTTTTTTTTTTTTTTGGGGGGGGAGCTACATTTTTGGCAGGTGGGTGTGCCTTGAGCCAAAAGATGGTGGGTATCTTCCTGCATGTTTTATGGGTTTGTCATTCATCGGTCACTGCTGGCCCCTCCAGTCTCATTACAGAGGTATAGGAGTGTTAGTAGTGTATAAACCCCCCCACACCCCCCCTTGGCATATAGACTAAGGTGGCCATAGCTCCTCTGTTCTAGGGCTGGAACTTTCAATCAGAAGAAATACGTGACACCATCCCGACAAAATTTTCCAGGTAGGGTGGGAGGTCCCCGACGGTGTGAGAGGGTCTCCCATAATAAATTTTGCCAAGTGGACAAAATTTTCCGGGGGTGGGCAAGTGGCAAAATACACGACCAATCTCGTCACATGTTGGTGACACAGGACTGCATTTCATTTTCCCATAGCGGCTGATCCCATAAAATATGGGAGGTCTGCAAATCCTACCGTGGTCTGAGTTGTGGGCTTCTTGTCTATTTTGGGCATTTTTCAGCAGGGAAGACCTGGCTTATCCAAAGCATGTTTCCAACTGTGCCGCTCAACATGACTGAGCCTTTGTGGGAGCCACATTACTTGGAGTCTTGACCCTTGACAGGGTGACAGTCATTATCTTGTATCGTCCGTGGGCCTGCTTGGCACAGATGCCTCGCCCACACTCAGTCAGCTGTCAGCCATTGACCTCATCACCAGGGTTTTCTATGTAGGGTTAGTTTATTTGTGATTGTTGGTCTACTTATTTCATGAATATTGTTCTTCTCCAGTAGCCTTTATATTCATACCAAGGGAATATATTACCACAGTTATTGCATATGTACAGTAAGTACACTTCTTCTCCAGCAGATTAAAATAGTCAAATAAATATATACACATATATGAAAAAGCATTCCTCTGGGGCTAGTGTCCCTTACTCCATCTTTAATTTATTAAAGATTCACATAAACCACAATTTCTATTTAGTCAAATGTGAAAAATAATAATGATAACTAATGATATGAGGCGTAGGTTAAAGGGGGATGATTTGCATTGTATATAATAAGTAAATTAATGATTTCCAGACTTTAGGCTGCAGTGTGGTCCTGTACCCTCAGGAATTGAAAAAATAGCCCTTTAACAGTGAAAATACTCCATTAAAATAATGGGTTTTTTTTTATGAACAGTTTCCAGCATGTTGATTTCATTAGCGTTTCGCCTCATATTTTCAAGGTATGCAAGATAATCTTTGCATCCTTTTCAGATCTGCATTCAGGGGGGGGGGGCAGTACAAGTTATTGAATGTGTGTGGGGGCAGGGGCGGATTAACGCACAGGCTAGATATGGCTTAAGCCTAGGGGCCCCACGTGTGCCAGCCTGCAAGGGGGCCCCCATTGGCTCTGAGGGGGGTGGGGGTGGGGGGCCCACAGACTACTGTAGCCTAGGGGCCTCTGTACACCTTAATCCGTCCCTGTGTGGGGGTGGTGGCAAAATAAAAAATATATTATTATACATGCAAATGGACAACACGCCTTCCCTGTCCATTTCCAAAAGGTTCCAGCCTTGTACCGTTATTCTGTAAATTACCAATTGGACTGAGAAACAAAAAGTAACTCTGTCTTAATGAGTTTTACCAGCCTGGCCACTGTCTCACAGCCAGTTGAAATGCAGCTCCTGTAATGAGCTCCCTATACATAGAGAATGCCCCCCCCCCCTCCCCTCCCCTCAGATATGGTTCTCTTTGCTGTGTAAAGGAGTAGAGGAGGTTTGGGGGGTGGGGGTCTGTCTGCCAACGAAACCCACACGGTGAGTCCTGCTATCAGCTCATGCAGCCACGTTTCCCGAGCGAAGGTGTGAAATATGAAGAGCGTCCGCGCAGGTGACCGGGAACGCTGACGCCACTGACGCCGTGGCCACGACAGCGCGCTCCCCCTGTACGCGCGCTCCCTCTGTCCGCGCGCTCCCCCTGTCCGCGCAGGTGACCGGGAACGCTGACGCCACTGACGCCGTGGCCATGACAGCGCGCTCCCCCTGTCCGCACGCTCCCCCTGTACGCGCGCTCCCTCTGTCCGCGCGCTCGTCCTGTCCGCCCGCTCCCCCTGTCCGCGCGCTCGTCCTGTCCACACGCTCCCCTCATCTCGTTACCCGGGGAGCGAAGTGCGCCGTCATCCTGACCTGATTGCAAACGCTGCTGCTGGGCTCGGCTTGCTCCCGCAGGAATAACTTTAGCTGTTTACCTTCACCCCCCCCCCCCGTTTCCCGTACATTTCCGTCAAGATCAGGCCCCCACTGCCATGTTGTTTTTCTATAACCACGTCACAGACTCGATGGCAACACTCTTCCGACGCCCCCGGACCGGTCGCGTTAATAAAGCCGCTCGATTCCTTTTAATCTCTCTCAATCTGGGTCCCACTTCCTGGTTACTGTTTGATTTTCTTTGCCAGCGTGTTTCTTGGTATTTCGTATCACCTTTCTGGCTGCTGCTGGGTGCCAGGGAAGAAAAAAAGAAGAAAAAAAAATCAATGCAGACCTCGTGTGTCTGAAAGGCTTCCTGTGAATTTCGCCTGTTTGATAAGATGGCTTCTCATTTTCTACAGGCCTCGGTGGGGGTGGGGGATGTATACTGAGGGTTACAAACAGGGCCCTGTGCTCCTGGTCAAGTTCGCTGCTGACTTTCACTGGGGTGGGCAATCACAGACCAAACAATCGCCTGAAGAGAACGTGGACAGCCTGCAGACTAGATTTTATCATTGCTCCAGAGCATTTTCCCAATTAACCTTGCTATCTTTGGTGCCCTCACTCCTCCCCACTCTTTTCCAAAAGGAAAACAAACGTTAGATCATTTTGTCGTCACAATTTTTTTTGTGCTTCTACTGTAGTGAACTCGAGTCTATCGACAAATCCTTTGCCACTTGAAAAAAGGAATGCTGGTGTTTTTTTTAAAAAAAAAAAAAAATGTTGTGCTTGAATGCAGTACTTGATAGAGTAAACTGACAAAATAGTACTTTATGTTACTCTGGCAAATTCAAAGACGGTGTTCAGTAAATAATGAGAAGTAGAGTTTAATTGGTGACTTGGTGTTGTACTTTATAATAATAATAAAAGAATTATTATTATTATTATTATCCAGCCATTTTCTGTACCCGCTTCTGCTATGCAGAGTCCTATGTAGGTCTGGAGCATATATCAGAAGCTACAGGCACCAGGTTATTATTATTATTATTATTATTATTATTATTATTATTATTAATGCACCAACTTTTAATGGACACGGCTACTTGCTGCCCCCATCCCGGTTAGCATACTGTCAGCGTTAACCGGGACCGGATTTCGGGGCTTGCAGTCCCTTTACGCCACGCCCCTTGTCAGCACCTGCTCCTCCAGTTCGCGGTCTGCCTTTAAGCTCGCCTTAACCAGTCGCTTATTTCCTTAAAAAACGCGCTTATAAGCGAAAACACGTTTTGGGAGCCAGATGGCTGCGCTGTTTTTACGTGCGCACGTGTGCAGCTCGTTTTTTTTTTATTTTGTTTTTTAAAATCCATCCGGCGGATTGTTTATATACATGCCAGCGACGGAAAAATGCCAAGAACAGGTAATGCTTAATTGCTGCACCTAATTGCCAATCAGTGTATGTAAATGCCAGTAAGTCTTGCAAACAAACATTCAGGCAGACCTTGAAAGGTTTAAGTTTGGATCCAGGATGCCTTTGGTGCTCTGTGGAGGAAAAAGAAATACTATGGTCTGGGGAAAAAATAGATAAAGGTGAATTCAGTACTTCCATGCAACATGGTTTTAATAAAAGCCCCATTTCACTGATGGGGAATGACAGACTGAGTGACTTTGCCTATCAAGCTGCAAATAGAGCAGGCACAGACCTCCCCTGACGCCCGCCTGTTATCAGATAGACTCCCCCGTAACGCCGACCACCCATTTCAACATCCTCCACCTACAATTAGGTACAGATTTCTGATTTCTACAACGTCACGTTCGATTTCGGGTCAGATCTGCCCGCCGCTAATGGAAGGGGCTTTATTGCGGAGCGCTCATTTTTATGTATGAAAACAAAAAAGGAAGAGGGGGCGTCAGATTTCAAAGAGTCACTTGTCCTCTGCCCCCCTCACGACTGACGTGCCCCAAAATTAAGTCCAACATACAGGGTGTAAGTTAAGTCTAGTGTGACTGACAGGAGGCACTTTGATTGGAGCTCAAATCATCGGATCATTTGGCTGATTAAAGACTCGGAGAGGCCTGTGTAAATTCCCATCGTCTGGGGGTTTCCATATCCGTCGGCGTTCCTGCTGGTTTCCATTACCGTGGAGTTCGCGGACGTGACGTGGGGCATCCTCCCGTTGTTTAGATTACACCTCGACTTGAACACTGCAGTTTCTGTACCTCACCCCCCCTTCCCTTGCGCTCTCTCTCTTTCTCTCTCGCTCCCTCTGTCTCTCTCTTCATTTCGGCGTTTAAAGCCTCTGTGATTGCTTTGCTGACACTGCGCCCAATGAAAATTCACAGCTGCACACTCGCTGGAAGAGGAGCGACTTGTCCGCTCACTATGACACCTTTTCCTGCGGTGTGTTAGGGCCGATGTGTGACTCTGCGGGTTTGGAAGTCTGCGTCTGCATCTGGAAGGTCACTGGATTGAACCCCGCGGCCTGCAGTGTAATCATATCGGTGTTCGGTCCTTGAGCAATGCCGTAACCCCTCAAAACTGACTGACCCTGTACTCTGACCCCAAGTTTCTCTCTCTCCTGTCTCATGGGAGACCATGATGGGATGCTCAAAGGCTGAATTTTGTTGTGCTTGCTGCCTGTACAGTGAAAA